CTCACAGCAATCACATGGTGGCCCACAACCATTGCTATTGGGATCTGATGCCCTCATGTGGCATGGAGGTGTACAGGCCTGAGGAACATTCTGTACATAATAAGATAGACTAAATGCTAAAATAAATTCCTACAGATATAAGGATTTAAAGTGTAATGAATGTTTTAATGCTCTTATATGTGCAAAGACACCTTCTGAATATATTAATGAGTTAAACTCTTTCTATAACAGTCACTTTGAAAGATATGAAAGAAGTTTTATAGAAGAGAAACCGTGTGAACGTATTCAACATGATGAAGCCATTGCATGTGCGACTCGACTACAAATACATAAAAGAACGCATACTGGGGAGAAACACTATGGATATAATCAGAGTGGTAAAGCTTTTAAACGTCACACTATTCTTCAAAGTCATAACAGAACACATACTAGAGAAAAACCCTATGAATGTAATCAGTGTAGTAAAGCTTTTGCACATCACAGTAGTCTTCGACAACATAAAAAAATACATACTGGAGAGAAACCCTATGAATGTAATCAGTGTGGTAAAGCTTTTATACGTCACAGTTATCTTAAAATTCATAAAAGAACACACACTGGAGAGAAACCCTATGTATGCAATCAGTGTGGTAAAGCTTTTACATGGAACAGTCATCTTCAAGTTCATAACAAAACACATACTGGAGAGAAACCTTATGAATGTAATCAGTGTGGTAAAGCTTTTACAAATCTCAGTACTCTTCAAGTGCATATCAGAACACACACTGGAGAGAAACCCTATGAATGTAGCCAGTGTGGGAAAGCTTTTACACGTCCCAACAGTCTTAAAGAACATAAAAGAATACACACTGGAGAGAAACCCTATGAATGTAATCAGTGTGGTAAAGCTTTTACACACCACAGTTATCTTAAAAATCATAACAGAACACATACTGGAGAGAAACTCTATCAATGTAATCAGTGTGGTAAAGCTTTTACATGTAACAGTCATCTTCAAATTCATAACAAAACACATACTGGAGAGAAACCATACGAATGTAATCAGTGTGGTAAAGCATTTACACGATGTCGTAGTCTTCAAGAACATAAAAGAATACATACTGGAGAGAAACCGTATGAATGTAATCAGTGTGGTAAAGCTTTTACATATCTCAGTACTCTTCAAGTGCACATCAGAACACATACTGGAGAGAAACCCTATGAATGTAGCCATTGTGGTAAAGCTTTTACACGTCCCAATAGTCTTAAAGAACATAAAAGAATGCATACTGGAGAGAAACCGTATGAATGTAATCAGTGTGGTAAAGCTTTTACACATCACAGTTACCTTAAAAATCATAACAGAACACATTGTGGGGAAAAACCTTCTGTATGTAGTCAGTGTGGTAAAGCCTTTTCGTATCACAGTGGCCTCCAAAGGCATATAAGAAAACACATAGTGCAGAGAAACCCTATTAATGTAATCAGTGTTATAAAGCCTTTTCATATTACATTAGTCTTCCAGAGCAAAATAAACACATAGTGCAGAGAAACCCTATTAATATAATCAGTGTCGTAAAGCTTTTACATGTCACAGGAATCTTCAAAGTCATAACAGAACACATACTACAGAGAAACCCTTTGAATGCAGTCACTGTAATGATGCCTTTTTAAGTTGCAGTAATCTTCAGAATCATAAAAGAATACATACTTGAGGAATACATATGAATATGATCAATGTGGTTAAACATTTGTATGTATCAGAAGTCGTTGAGGTCATGAGAAAATATACTGTAGAACCTTGATAAATCTTGTCAGTGTAGTAATTTTTATCTATTTCATGGTAGTTTTTCTATAAGAATATACTTTTAGTGTAT